TTCGTTAATGAACTGTACAACGGTTGACGCTTTCAAGGGAGGTTCAGACAGATGTTGGTTGGAACATTTTCCGGAAATATTGTAAGCATATTGATGCTGGTTGCAGAGAATTCATGAACGATGAAAGTACAGGATTGTTTCTTTTTGCTTCGTTTTCGTTGCAGAAGCAAGAAATGTAATTGGAAGTCGAAGTACCAGGGGCCCTTGGTTGCTTGCCGGTGCAAGAAACAGGACGCTCGTTAGGCAGAAACCTATATCGTTCTGGGAACCTAACCTGATCTGCGTCGGTTCGCTTCCCACAATCAGCCATCTAGCACGAAGAATTGTCGTGCTAATCAGAATCTTGTCCTCCAGGTCGGAATCTGAAAGTCAGGTAAGACATTTCTACCCCCAAAGGCTTGAAGTTGTTTATGTAGCGCGGACATTTTCCTTTGGTTTTTCCACTACCGGTGTATCGGTTGTCCATGCAGAAACACAACACCATCAGCGAAACAGCCGTTAATGTGTTTCAACAGATGGGGAAGAATTTTATCAAGATTACGAGCGTCGCCTCACCTTAGCATCGACAGGGAGAGCTGTAACATCGAACAAAAAGGTTCATGGCAACAGAAGGACTGAATGGTTATTTGAAGTGCAACATCTAAAGTTTGAATCAATTTGTCTAAGTTGCATAACTATCTTAGTTAATGCTCTACGTACCAAAGAATGCTTTTGGCTGGAGGGTCAAATGAGTTCGCAATGGCATTGGCCTTAATACTATGAACTACAGACACCCAAAAGGGTTAGTGACCAATCTTGGAACTACCAATTAGACACCAGTTAAGGGATAGGTAAACAGGGGAAAACTAATTCCTAATGGGGCTGAGTATCATGTGCAAGCTAACCAATCAAAGTCTAAATCATAGCCAAAAGCAAGATAGTTCGAGTTAAGCAAGTAGGCCGTTCTATGGACGCGCTGGGAGCAATTGCATGAGGTTACCACAATAAACATGTTATTTAGCGATAACTGGCAGTGAGCAGTCTAATCACGCTTGAAAATGATGCTACTTTATAAAGCAGGTAAGTAGGCGGTAAACTTTCTCAATCAATCGCATCAAGAGTGCTTTCAAATTCATCCGTAAGGGAAATCATGTTCTTCCACATATCTCAAGATGGCCAGATTGCATCCAACGAGTGTAAACGTTCCCAAAAGGGCGTACTGCTCGTTGAGTGACCACTTCCAAATCGGACGATAGCATAGTAGGTTAGTTCACAAACTGGGTCACTCAATGACAGTAGAAGTTAGGGACGACTCCCGCCACGAGATGCAATTGGATAGCGTTAAGGACTATCTAGAGGTATGTATGGAAAAAACATGATTCCATTAAAGAATTTGAAAGCGCCATGGATGCAATTAACTAGAAAAATGTATAGAAGACTGGTTCTTCTCGAGCTGAAAAACAAGCGCCGTGCGGAGGCACATTAACAGATGACATGAAATAAGATGGGAGCCCAGTGCACTGATGTGCGTCATCAGGAGCTGATGGCGATCTGATCGAATTGGGACAGGTCCAATACTTTGGCAGACGGGCACCAAGTGATGTTATGCAAACGATGGCTGCGGAAAAAGCGCGATTAACGTTGAAATGCTCAACACAGTTGACACAACCGATTACCACTAGGTATCGAATACGATACGATATTTTATTTGGTCGCCGATAACGATAAGCAAACCAATTCGGTGTCCACAGTACCAGTAAGTTTCATCAGTGTTTTACCACCAAACAATACAATTAGAGGATGACTCCATGACTTAATTACTCAGATTAAAACTCTGTGACGAAAAGTTCACATCTTGCATGTATTGTTCTGTTAGGAATGGCTGGATGTCGTAGATCAGAAAGTAATGTTGATGAGACGGAGCCTTCGTGACTTGCCATTCTACGTTAAATGAAATCTAATCTCGCAGATAACTCAATACAATGACGTAAAATGATGGGACCGCTATAAGAAGACGGTAAACACGCCAGGGATGACAAATGCGAGCCATACTCCGTACTAGCTGGCGTCATTTGGGCGTATACGTTACCGGCTTCGATGTCATGCATATCTGTGTTACGGACCATAAGCTTCAGACGTGTACAGAACAACTAAAGATTAGTACGTTCATAGACGATGTCGAAATGAGGTCCATATATATACGGTTTCTCGTAGAGGCACACTCAAGCACAATGGCTTGAGCGCGGCATCAAAACTGCGAATATCCGGAGCCATCAACTCGGTACCATCACCAGCGGACATAGGTAGAGTTTGAGTCAGGCAGTTGAAGAAGGGTGAATACACTACTGTCATACATGCGTGCTTTGAAGAGACAAGGCAACGCGCCTTCAAGAGTACAAAGCGAAAGGCTACTACCGAGTGTGGACTTCGAGAGACGAAGTGTGAGTTGAAATCCCTGGTCTGACAAACTATCGAGTCAAGCCATCAGCACAGGCAACGACATCATAAGTGGTTTCTTGCCAGTTAACATAATTATATCACAGGGAAATCTGAACTTGGTGAACAAGTAACGTTGGTTTATTGCTTGTTTCAGCAGAAGGGCTAGAGTAAAGATACCAGGTTCCTGACGTCATAACTTAATAACCTGTTACACAAAGCAGTGAGGACCAAGCCCACCTCGCGAGTGTGGTTAGAGAGTCCAGCAGCAAAAACACGCAGCCATGACAAGTCAAGAGGAATCAGAAACAGGTTTCCGATGGTACCGAGTGATACAAATGTAAATATGCCCAACTTGCGAGCGAGAATGAACCAGCGAGCAAACTCTATGCAGTCCAATTGTCAGACACAACCAGAGGCACTTGAACACCAAGTCAATAGTGGTACGCTTACAGTCTCCAAACTGCCCTCTCAGTAGATAAATAAGCATCTGCAGTACGCCTGCACGTCGTACCGACGCTCCACTGTCACGTGACCACCACCAGTGGTGCGTGGGATAGGGGCACTGCAAGTTCGCCCGCATCTACGCGGATTAGAACAGATGAAGCGTGCATACCATCGTAACTAGTTCAGGCTGAGGCGTATTCTCCGGCTGCAACCAATGGGAACAGTACTACGGCTCGCTTGATAGAACACAATTGAGGAAATCCTAACTGGCTCGAAAAATTGCCAACCTCGAGAAATCAGTGGAGGTAAACAGTGAAGAATAACAAAAATGGTGTCAAAACAAGACGCCTAGAGAGACCGGCGTAATCAAACCCAATAATTGTGAGAAAAGTGGCTCACAAGGTGAATAAGGTCACTACCTGAATACATCCAGTGCAAATGAGGGGTTATGAGAGTGCGTTAAATGTGACTAATTTAAGAGAACTAAAAGTGATTGGGTGTTGGTGATATCCAACTTGCTAGCCTCGTAAGTGTCGGTTTCGCATCAGGTTGATTCGCTACGGGATAACATCACCGAGCGGACGGAACAAGACAAAAGCAAAGTCTGTCCGTTAACAGCATTACAGATTAGCTAAGGCTGAGAAACAACCCAACCAAGGCGTCTAAATACAAAAGGAGGGATACGAAGTATTATAGAATACAAGATAAAAAATACTAACAGACAGTTATATTATGCTTAGTAGCATATTAGGTAACAGGTGTGAGATAGTAGTTGGTAAGTAAGTATTCTCAGCAGTCTAGCAACCAGACACAGAGCCAACTGGAAAGCATGGAGATCAGCGGATAAGAGATAGTCATCGCGTCATAATCATCGTGGCATAGTAGTTGAAGATGAGCAACACACTTCAGCTAATATGCCACAGGGAGAAAGGAGCATTTTGACAAAAAGTAGAACAAAACACCTTTAGTTTGTTTTTCATACGCAGATACTTCTTTTGTGTCATTTTGAATGTTTGAAGTATTAAACATGTTAATCAATACAATACTGTACACAATTCTTCCACTGCTTCCGGTTGCGGGCCATATCTACAATAGTGTTAAGCCATTGGAGAAGACTAAGCGGAATAAGGTGAAATAACGAAATTCGCAACACAAACACTATTGAGATCGACTCTTCGCCAATGGATAACAACGGCAGTATAGTGCGTTTGGATGCGAACATAATGTGTAGAGAAAATATAAGCAAGAGGATATGCATTGGACGAATCAGAAGGGGGAAAAAGTAACAACTAGAGGAAAGAAACTGAGTGCAAACACGCCACTGACTTCGTGACTGCGCCATGTCTGACACAGCCTCCAACCATTGGTGTGGAACGTCACGAAGCCCCTATCCAGGACGAGGGCACTCACCAGCTTGACTAAGTCCCTCGGAAAATTTTTCATGATTCGATGTCATGTCACGGACTGGTCACCTCGAGGTTTCGTCCAACTTGGCGCGGCCACGTCGTATGATTCACGCCGAGGAAGCCGATCAAGGGGTATACGGCAAACATTGCCTAGACAACGCAAGCGACTAAGATTTAGCAAACCCTGGAGAGAAGCACCAGAAGGCTTCTTACCAAAAACAAACAGGTGGACCTCAGCATTGTTCACCGTGTTCCCAACAGACGTGAGCAATACCCAGCAACCACCGGTGGTCAAACACGCCCATTGTTCACGCGGTGTTTCTATCAGATGTGAGCTAACCTGCAGAGGCAACGATGGTCGAACGTACCTAGACGCTTTGTGTATGTGGATCTGATGGGTCAGATTTCACAACCGTACGCACAGATGTGTTGTAAACATTGCCATTCATAGCGAGAGTGATGCTTCGCAGTTGCCAAGGGCGGTTGAAATTGGAGAAAGTCTCGGGCTTTTGTTATACCGTACGTGATTTCATTGTTGACCCCCTGGGCTGCCTAGATGTTTGAATTTCCGAAGGACTTTTAGCTCATGTACGTGGTTCCTATTCACTAATATAAAAAATTTCCAGTCTGTAAATACTTCTTAAACAGAAATCAGGACTTGAAATAATGTGAGTATAACCTCCCACATTAGACAGAAAACCACACAAAAGAATCCAGGAGAATTTCCCTAAGGCGACGCTTTATACTTAAAGTTCGTGCCTAACTGTACTGTGTCAAAACCGGGAAATAAGCACCGTAAGTGAAGTGCAGTGGAAATGCGCAGAAGCCAAACAAAAAATACCTCGTAGGTTGCTCGACAGGTAACGGTTCGGAGTGTGAAACTGCAATTTGGGTATCTTTCGACACAGGAGCAAAAGCTAAAGCATATAGATAAATACATATGCGTGAATGCAAGAAAACGCAACAGAAAGTACAGTGAGTTTTCTTTATACAAATTGAAAACCACTATGACACGGAACGAACATACAGTCGTCAGATGTTATATTCGATACGATAAGGGAAAGGAAAGACAACAGGGTGATGCCGTACCCGGAGCGGAGGGGGTGATTTACAATTCATACGCGATGAGATGTGTACAAGATCGATTTGTGGCTGAGTTGAGCCACTGATTAGGAGTGTAACCGGAAGACCATTCACGTTCGGGTACGCAATGGGGGAGACGAAGTCATAATCTGTCGATTGAACGAACCCGACAATTGTTAACTGAATGGTGTTTTGGACTCCGGGAGTGAAAGGTTCGGCTTAGCCATTTTTCGTGCTGGTAGTGTCTGCTTTGATTGCAACAGGCACGTCGATTAACTTGGTGAGACGACCATCCGAACGTAGACTCCAACATCTTACACGCTCATCGCTACCAATACAAAGAAGGTTTCGAATCACAAACATCTGTTCGTCATTTAAAAATTGGTGTTCAACACGAGTCTTTACAATTTTTGGGCAGCCTTCTTGTGCTGAGGATACTCTCACTATCGCATCTTCAGTGGCACTCGAATGTGCGCTCGATTCTTGTTCCTCGTCGTCGTATACATCAAGCCCTTCAACGCCGAGTTCCTCGGAAGAATTAGGATCGGGGACCTCAGGTGCTTCAGACTTCCTCACAATATCGAATGTGCCTTCTTCCGTATCGGAGGGGCTATCGGTTGTGTGAGAACCACGTGTGATGAACCGCCGCCGAGGCACCTGTTCCTCCCCTGACTTGTTTAAATGGCGCTGCACCATTCGGTGTAGATCGGAACGGTTGAGTTGTCGTCCAAAACGGTCAGAGATAAATTTCTGAATCACTCGGGTTGACCCAGATCCGGCACGGATGAGTGACAGCACTGCTTGCTCTTGTTCGTCAGATAGACGTCTGTTTTTCGGATAGATAGAAGGCTGGCCGAGATGAAAAGTGTGCGAATGCAGTAGCGAAGCATTTTCTATCTCAAATTTACCCTCACGAGCGTGAAGCACAAAACTGGCGGGACAGTTGTAATTCACAAACCTGCAAACGAAGGTGGAGGGAGAGGGATGGTCAAATTGAATGTGTACAACTCACTTGGTACACTTTTTACGTCTTCGTGCGTGAACACAAGTGTATTTGGCATACTTGTATGGACAATGAGGTGGGAGCATCTCACCGGACGCCTTGAACCATGAGGCCGCGGTCCTGGAACTCCAAATAAAAAAGCTCGTCGCGGTCTCGTGCTGAAAAGTACTCAAATCCCGTTGAAAATCCATAAATGTAGCATAAGGTGGATGCATAAAGCGTTCGAACTCAGCCGTGTTATCAATCAATACAGATTGAGTCGCCGTCATGATGACGCACCGTCAGCACACAAATACTGCAACAGAAAGAAGAGCGGAGGTGTCACGCATTGTGCAAAATGTAAGATGCGAAAAACACTAGTAGGTGGATAAGTATGAGATCTATGTTCACTAGTGAAATGTGAGAAAGTGAAGCGGAGGACTGTAATCAAGTGCAAATTATAACCATCGGTAATGGTGCCGAAAGCAAGACTCGCTCGAGACAGAAAACGAGAATCCATACAGGATAGGTAAATAGAGCACTGGCGTTTTTACTCACTGCTGCACAGCTGAACAACTATGAGATGCGTAGCATAGTGCAGTGGATCACCAGTAATAAAGGATCAAAAAGGGATGGACAATGAAAATAGAAAAAAGGTTCAGAAGGGAAATACTAAAATCGGCGGGATAACAAAAAGTGGAGAGGAATGTGAGGGTAGTAATGAGTTGGTGACAGCGCCACATTCGATTCGGTAGGGTATCTATTCGTCGAAGCAGCTGATCTAGGAAGATACACAATAACTCTGTTTGGCTCAACGGTGAATTTCGTAATGCGCATTCGTCACAACCCAGCGGCTAGCATTACAAATGTCACATGGAGGTTCGATGTGGAACGTGAGGCGGGGAAGCAAAGATTCAAGATGAAACATTTGAGCAAAAAAAACAGCTGCACTGAGTGAGAGTTTAGTTTAACCGGTCGATGCCAACCAAAAGTGGACAATCAGTGAGGAGATATCATCATCATCGTCGTCATCATCATCATCAGCGTCATCATCAGTATCGCAATTCGGCAATAATCCTAGACTGGCAAAAAGGTGAAGTCACTCAAAGTCGAAAACAGAGAGAGACGCCACCAGCTCAGCTGTCGTCTAGGTACAAAATTGAGATAGGCCCGCTTGTGTGAACAAGCATGGAAGAAGGCATCAGCAGTACGAAACACACCGTACTGACGCTTCGATGCCACGCGACCACTACTAGTCGCGCGTGGACTGAGTAGATCGCGGAGACGTGCGCCAATACGCGGATTCGAATCGGCGACCTCCGGATTATCAGAAAACCGTATGAGTAACCGAGACAGTGGAATGTGACAAGTGACAGAGAGCGAGTGAATGATAAAAACGGTGCCGAAAGAAAGTGCAAACAGCAGGTTAGTGAATTCATATAGAGAAATAAAGGAACAAAACAAGTGTGGCTAACTCGGGGACAGAGGTCATTCAGAGAAGCGACAAGCATCGAACCGCCCAGATCTAGAGTTCGATTTGTCACGGTCGTTCGATCAACTCAGTAACTGGTCACCGTGTGGAATTACATAAATCTCGATCACTCGCAACTGTATGTCTGTGCACCCGGATACTGAGCCCATGAAATGGAAAAAGAATAGAAAACCCACGGATTGGTGTCAGTCCTCTTGGTGGATGAAGAGACTTCGGGATCAGCCTCACCAGTCAGTACACACCACAACCGATATAGTCCAATCACGAAAACGCAAGAGTTCCCTTACTCCTGGTTCTTAAGAAAAATAAGCTGAACGCGGAAGTAAACCCAAGGCAAAGCAATATTACGATAGATCAGGATCTGAAGACAACCCAGCTGTTTGTTTGAATGGAGGAGACTCAATGGCGACTGACTCAGCAGTGTTAGGATGCCCAGGGAAGGACCACCAGACTGGTGGCTGTCATGTTATCTATAAAAAGTGGCCGAACTTCATGCAAAAATCATCAGAACAATAGCCTCATCGTCAATGCTTCAAAACGATTAACAAAGATTACATTTTAGTGCCTCATTGGCGAGTCGAATCAATGAAAGCCAGGCTTCCAATCCAGAAGAATGTATTGACTACACGCTTACACTTCGTTAATGAGTCCTTAATACAGTTGATCGTACCAGTTTGTGTCGCGCTGTATAACATGAAAGAGTGTTGGCATAAAATTTACTTTTGTATATGTTCTTCAACACAGCCAATTCCCCTCACTTTTTTATGAAGTCTATACATTCACACCATCATCATTAGACGTTAGCTGAAGATTAGTAACAAACACACTTCGGCCAATGTGCTAAAAATAGGGTATAAAAGATTACATAATGTAATAACAAAATGCGGTGTGATGCTTAGTATCATAATACGCAGCCGGTGTGCGACGTGGTCGGAGATAGAAGCGGAATAGGGAAAGACAAAGAAACTCTCAACACGAACGCCATGGAGGTCAGCTATAAGCCACGTCAAATAGGGTATTCAATCAAACATGCTCATCGTCCGTCGGACAACAGACTGCTAATCGGGAGGCTCCAACGGAAGCCACATTCGAAGTCAGGATTTGCATTAACGCTTGTCCAAGCCATCGCTGCCTCATTTCCTCTTATTCCATCCACACAACGGGCGAGCAAACAAAGCAGGTCGCGAGAGTCGGTGAGCTGACATGAGCAAAACGTGGCTCGGCCATCAGAGCCTGGTGAGTACAATGAGGGTGCTGTGTGGTTTGCTTCTTTTTCCGGGCGAAATAAAGAAAGTGGCGAAAACGTTCATTGCTCACATGGTGTTTCTACAAGATAAGAGCCAGACCGCGAAGGCACCGGTAATCCAACGTAACCAGCCCCCTTAAGTGAGCTGATTTAAAAGGCCCCGTTCCACAACCGCACAGCAATGTCGAACGCACCGCTGCAGTGCACATACTACCAATCAAGGAGTGATGTCTCGCTGACGCCATCGGCTAGCAAAAGCGCTTCGTGCTTTTGCTATACGGTTTGAGACCTCGTCCGCCATTCCATAGGCACTGATACAACTACCTAGGTAGTTAGCCTTTTGAACGACTTCTAGCTGGTCCCCACCAAGAGTCAGCGCAGGAAGCGGTCCCTGATAAGCTTGAAGGGAAGATTTTCACTTTCAGGGTGCAAACCATAGCCCGAAACAGTCGACAACCAATGCTAATCTCGCCAACGTCGTTTGGCAGTTGTCACAGCTTAGGGCAATACAGTCAACATACTCCAAGTCAAGAAATCGTTCGCCTGCGAGCGGCTTCACAGCTGTGAACGAGATTTTCATGACTTCATCAAAAACGATATGTGCTCAGACGAAATGGAGACGAACGTTTGGCGGAAATGGGATGAATAAAGAAACCCACAACATAAACATCATTGAGGCCGGCTCCTGACTACGTCAGCAAGTATCTCCAAACAAATGGGATCCGCGTCTTTCAAACCCCACGGAGATTCAATTCAGGGAGAGCGATCACGTCACTTGACTAAGTCATCGGTTCGCTTCATCGATATTTTCCTATCCATACATGTTATGGTCTACGCCTGCCTGCGATTCCAGTTGAAATGAATTCATTCCCTGCCAGCTGCGAACCCCAGCAGAGAATCAGAAGGCAACGCTTGGAGGCAAAAGCATGTTGCAGAACCAGCTACCGAAACGGATACAAGTAGTGTAGAAACCAGCGAACATTTGTTAGTCTACCCAGAAATAACAATAATAATATGCCAGCTGTACGACGTAACGGCGCTTCGCTGCCGCGCGACCACTACTAATCGCGCGCGGAATTTATACCGCGAGGACGCCCATCCCTACGCGGATTCGAAGCGGGGACCGTATGGTTGCAAACCAGGTGGGCAGACCACTCTGCCATCGGCCGACAGACATACCCAGGAATGCTCAGGTTTCTAAACAGTTAGGTCAACTGCCCTGATTGGCAGTTCAATTCTGCCATCCAATGGGTAGATAGATACGTGCGTCGTGTAGATCCGAATGTTCCTGATGTGAACATTGCTAAAACGTCTTGATGTTTCCTTTGTACCTCATTGGTTCGAATCGTTTCCCACTGATTTAATGAGTTTTCCTGGGGAGATTTTATTCTCGCTGACGACACTCTAGTTGCTCAAACAATGCATGACGAGGGAATCAGTGCTGGCATGTGTAATACATGTCCCAGCCATCGGAGACTGATGCGTGAAATAACAGCACCCAGCTGTTCACTCGATTAGTGACCGAAAGATTGAGGTGTCCGCCTTGTAATAAAATAGTGAGGGTGACCACGAAGTACCCTTAGTCCGCGCGCGACCGCTGACGGTTGCGTAGCAACGAAGGGTCGGCGCGGCGCACCGGAGTAATACGGACGGCTTTCTTCTTCCCTGCGCCATAAACAAGACGCGGAATACACTCACTGTTCACTCTGTGTTCCCCGCATATAGTAGCCAAACTGTGGAGACATCAGAGGTCTAATGCAATTAGCCTGTCTAAGTCGGACGACTAAATGTACCAAATTTCACAGCCGCACATAAGGGATAAGCAGGCAGAACCATTGCAGATTGTGCCATTCAAGATCACCGCAATGAGACGGGTTCAGTGCAGCTGAACAACTATGATCTGAGCACCAGGTGTGATGGATCCAACCGCAATGAGACTGGACTTTATCGTGGTGCGATGATTTGCGCACAATAGGCTCAGTGGTGTTTCTTGCACGGGAAGAGCACTCATATCAGATTGGTCAACTGTTAGAGGCCAGATGAACTGAGTTTACTGGCCCTCCACATTGGCAGTTGTGGTGAGGGTAGTTTCTTAATCCATAAACTGGGCTACCTGTAGGCTGCTGCCACTCCGTCAACTGTCTTGTGTTCGAGATTTGTAGCCAAAGGCTTTGGTTGCGTATCCGAATCCTTCTCTTGTTTAGGCCTAAGCAACTTGGAAAATCCTGTCCAAGCAAGACGATACTAAACTCCACAGATTTCTGAACGCTGTGGTCATTGCAGAGGACAATCAAGGAAGCTTCAGTTGCACATCGAGCAGGGTGGATAGGGATGAAGTTAGGACAGCTCTGGCTTTTTCGTCTTTCTATCCCCCTCTTGCGTTTCATCATCTTTATCGACCCGTTTCCTCTTTGCAACTCCCTAGTTCTTGGATTTTTCGCAACTTGCATTGAAAGTTATTTGTTTTCCAGATTCAGCTTACACGTAGTCGCAGAGCGTAGCTCAAATACAGGCAGTCTGAGAACATAAGTAAAGCGACATCCCTGTTTGTTGCATCAATGAGCGCCTGAAGGGAACCCGACG